GTACGCACTCTTTCTATTCATTCCCCCCTCGATGCATGTGCATAACTGATTTTTTAAAATTAAAAAACCCTTCTATTACTTGTCTCATCCAAGTATTTGGCATAAATCCAATTGTTAGCCCCAATGGGATTAAATGAGGACTTGGTAAGTCAACTCTTAGGTAAGTTTCACTGATCCAATTGGTCTCTCTAATTGGCACTAGCAATTGGATTTAGGCATCTGTTTGATGCAGCTCCCCAAGCCATTTCTAATAATGAACGTATAGGATGTATAAAAGCCAGTCTAGTCAATTTGCTGTGTCAGAACAAGTTGTTTGCTTATACCACAGTTGTAAATTTGTATTTTTTTGCAGTTTTCCAACTTTATAGCATAACATAGCTCTGATTTTTAAGAGCTATGCTACATGAACTTTGCTCCTTTTCTAAACTTTTATTTTGGAAATGGAATAGAACAGAGGAGATGATTTATTTATTAATTAAATAATAGAATGCAATCTAGCTGAAAAAAGACATAAAAATAGCATACTCTAGAGAAAGTCAGTTGTATCCCAGTTCCATTGAAATCTCTGGATTACACCCCATGGATTGGCAGGTTTGACTGAAATGGCTTCTTATGGGCCAGCAATCAGCTAGCATGAGCCAACCTCTGAAGCAGCAGCTTAGCAAGCTATTGTTGCCAACCTGCTGACCTTCTGTAAGCCCACAATAGCAGATTCCTCAATGCTGATGGTAGCATTTTGCACTGTCCAGCTAATCCGATGCAGAAGCAAGAGGGAGACTTCTGGGTGATACCAGTCCTGGCTTTGTGGTACTATTATCTACTGAAAGGTTGAGCAAGATTTTGGTATGCACTACGCTACACAATAGAACAACAGAACAGATTTTTGTCTGCTTTCTTATGTATTAGGTACAGAATTATTTGCAACAACTAGTTACTTTTCATCTAGTCCTTTCATTTGCTCCTTTTCCCAATAGCTACATTACAATGCAATTAATGAAGAAACATTTCAATCCATTATATAAATATTTATAACTTTTACTTATACTTATATTAATAGTAGCAGGATGTGGTCTTACTAAATAGTAGTTGAATATCCCATAATTTAGGTACTGGTGTCTGTAGTGCCTTATGCTGCTGGTTCATTTTTCTGTTGTGGATATTGAGGAATTGGTGGGAAGAGGGTGATTTTTCTTTCATATCCCATTATCAGATTTTACATGAGTAAATGCAACTGTTCTAGTTATTTTTGAGAAACAGGAGGGTAAAAATTTGCAGCTATAAGAGTAACAAACAATTGAGAGAGTTATAACTACTAACTTTTCAAAGCAATGTTCCAAACTCTGATGGGAGTGTATGAAAACTTTCCTCAGTGATTTCCATTACCTTCACATCTCAATGATTCATACAAAAGGAGGTGCTGAATATTTTAATACGGATTCTGTTCCCCAATCATAATGGTTTTCACCACCCATGGTCTGTTGGCCCTATACCCTTAATTTATTTTTAATGAAATATATATCCTGAGCATCTTGGCTTTAGGATGTTAATAAATGGAACCCATTCACCAGATTTTTTTAAATGTCATATCTGTCAAGGTGACTAACCACAATTAAACCCAATAACAAAATGCAATAACATGAAAGACTAGGGGAGAGAGAAAAAACAATATAATAAAAGAAGAGAAATGAAGACATTGGACAGAATCTGCCCACCAACCAAATAAATAAATATGATCATAATGCAGCTTATACAAATTGTCAAGATGGACTCATGGGCCAAAGATCTCCCTAGTTCATTGCAGCCACAGAAAGGTGTCCTCCAAAAATAGGCCTCTGGTACTGTTGAAACAAGAAGAAGCACCCCATAGTCAGGTTTCAGGACTAATCTCAGATTTCCCTTGCTCTGCCTTCTTGGGCATAGAGTCTAATTAAAAAAGAGAAACTGATCTAATAAAAAGTGGTGAGAGAGTAGAGATATGAAGGATAGTCACTAAATTTCTCACCCTTCACGAGGGAGGCTGTCTTGGCAAATTGAGGCAGTCTACTAAGGCACCATCACCTCTGTGAGAGAATGAGACAAAGGGCCGATTTAGATTTCAAGATTTCTGGTAATTGGTACAAAAATGTCTTTTCACGTAAGTGCTGACTTTTCCCTTTGTGGAGCAAAGCGTATGCACATTAGAGGGACAGAAATGTCTACTGGTTGATCGAAAGGCATAACTTTTCCAATGCTTCCAGTTTTTAAATGTCCATGCAAGGAAGCAGCAACTATTGTAATAATATGCCTAATTTATGCAATGTGCACAAAAATTGTCCTTGCAAATACAAAACCTCTCTCAAAATCAACAGGTTATATCTCATATTTCAAGGGCAAGGAGCAAACATTTGCATTTTCACATTAATGCACATGAGAACAAGATAAGAGAGAATGTACACCACGAGAAAGGACATAAACCAATTTCTTAGTAGCAGTTTCCTACAAAACTTGGGAGTCTAGTTTTATCAGTTACTGCATATTTAGGGGAATAGTGGGGGAATCAGTAGCCAGTACCCTTCATCTGATCAGGTCACTCTTGGTCAAAAGTCTGATCAATTAGAGAAGGTTTCTATAAGTCGTCTGAGGACTGGGTTTTACATTATTTAGTGAAAGGTGGTATCCATAATTTTGTAATATGACCATAGTTGCATACATCACTTCTTTATTTTGAAATGTAATAAGAGTAATGTAATATCAATATTATAATGCTTTAAATTTCCATTTTATAGTACTAGATATTGGGATATTTTTGTGATTTTTAACTGAAGCAGTTCTAAGAATGCAACACATTATTTATCTCATCATTCATGGTATTGGCTTCAGATATCTTTCTCTGGGCCCAGCATAGGGTTGTTTAGACAGTCTAAAACCCCCTCCCTTTCAGGTGCTAATTTTTCAGGACCAAACACAGAAGAATACCTCCCCTTAAGTGAAAAACTGGACTATAAACTTTTTGCCTGGCTGTCAAGCATATCATTTCATCTGTAGAGATGCATTCTTGCCTGATCAGCGTCCAGTCCAAGTGACGAGTGCAGAAGGAAAAATGGTGTTGAAATTGGATCTGAACTTCTTGAGCATTTTCCATATTGAAGCATTTTCCATATTTAGCATCATCAGAGTTCCTCCCCTTTACCGTTTTATTGCTGATCTTTTAATATAATTGAAGCCTGATATACTCCTACTCATAAATAATTGATATAGATTTTCCTATATCCTTTCTGCTTCCCTTGACAGAGGTAGCATTCACAATGTATTTTTAAAACAAAATATAGAGGAAACAGCAGTGGGAGTAGGAGGGTTGTGTTCTGTATGATTTCTGGAAACTGTTTTACTCAGATCCACTGTCTGCACCTGCCAGTGAACCTCATCTAACATTAAAGTGTGAGAAGAATCCCTAGGCACTATGTCTTTGTTTCAGGCACATGAAGGTCTTGGCTATAGCTTATGAAGCTGGCCTTGTTATGTTTTTCACAGCACTTTGGAACACCAACAGCTGTTAACACACTCAAATAAGAGACTTAACAAGGCACACACTTTAGCTTTGCCACTATAGCCTGCCTCATATCCAGAGGTAGATAATACACTTCAGAGGAGGAAGCCATGACTGTATGGATGATCTCTCTGTGTAAGGTGTATTCCAGTACGGTTCTATGCTGCTGTTCTCTTTTTTAAAGATCACTTGGAATGGTGTAAGTGTAGGCAGAGTGGTGAAACTGAACCAAAAGCTCTTTCAAATGCAAACAAGAGTTATTTCCGCCTTTGCCATATCGAAAATGTGTGTGTGTTGGTGAACGGGAACTACATTTTTCCATTATTGAGTCAGCATGATGTCGTGGTTCAGCTCTGGACTTCAACTCTATAGACCAAATTTTGAATTTCCACACAGACATGGAAACACATTGGGTGACCTTGAACAAGTCACTCTCTCAGTTTCAGAGGAAGGCAATGGAAAATTCCCTCTTGATAAATCTTGCTAAGAAAACCCCCAAGATATATTTATTTTAGTGTCACTGTAAGTCAGAAATGACTTGAAGGCACACAAGGCACACAACATCAATTGATTGATTTATCATTCTGAAATTGGTTCAGTGGGTCTATTCTAGGTGGGGCTAATACATTTTAAAGGAAGCTTTCTTTAAAGAATGTGATTATAAAGATACAATTGGTTCTACCTTATATGGGCCTTCTACATTTTAAATTATTCAAATTTTATTTAGCTTATCCAATGTCACAATTTAATTACTGGGTTGGATCCATGCAGCTTCATCTTCTCCACTGGCTTTTCCCCAGTTGTTGAATAGTGTCACTGGGTTTTTCAATAAAAACCAATTGCATGTAGATTAGAAGATAGAACTATCTCAACATGGATAAAAATACCAGCAGAAAATTTAACAGATTATACTTTTTGTGGTTTCTCACACTGTTTTTCACACTGGGGTATAAATATCTGGGGATGAAACAGAAGGATTTTGGAAAGCGCACATTTATATAAATTGCTGCTTGATCTTCTAAAAAAGCCCACACAGAATAGGCACCTGAGAAACAAAGTGGCATCAAGTGCACCATTGGTCTTAAGTCTACTATAACTGTAGATTAACAGGAACTCCTGAGTATAAATGAGATATTCTGGTGTATGTACGCATATATCCAGGATTTTACAGCACCTTTGAGGTTAACTGAGAGAAAGATGTTTGTAGCGTAAGCTTTTGTAGACTTAGTCAACTTCATCACATTTTATCAAAGGTACATGATCATTTTGTAGACTTAGTCAACTTCATCACATTTTATCAAAGGTACATGATTTACATGATCATCTTATATATGGCTACAGATTAACATAGCTATGTTTTTGAATAATACTCATACCTTTATGTTTTCCACTCAGAGATCAAAATAAGCTTTTTAAGGGGGAAATGTGTGTGTGTGCATGCTGTAGAATTGAACCGTCGAAAACAAATGTGGGA